TAGTGTGCATCAAAGGTCTACTTTATTCTGGATTTTTCACTGTGCAGCTTACAGGGTAACTACAGAGTTAAAAATCACTGTGCCAACTTGAATATCTGATGGCTAATGGAATTTGGAATTATTAAAGAAAGTGTGTTGGCTTTTTTTAGTTTGTAATGCATGGATAAGCATTATTATTATTTCAGTAAACTTAACAATTTGATTAATTAACAAGTTTTTCTGACCAGGAAGTTCCATTTAATTTTGCTGACTAGATAAAACATTACTAATTAATAAAGTGAGAAAGCTATAGAAGATCACTCCTGTTAGCTATTGAAACAAAATGTAATGGACATGCTTCAGAACACTAGTTAACTAGTTTATGAATGTATGTTCAAACATATAATGAAAGCTTGTATATCAGGCATAGATAATCAGGCATAGATTATGGATATAATACTCTAATGTAATATTGCATTTCGCAGAAAACGTCCGTCTGTAAATTACATGTTGAATTTTACCAACCTTTTTTTTTTTTTAACTTGGTGAACAGATGGTCTTGTTTTAAGTCATCTGCCTGATGGTCCCACTGCTCATTTTAGAATGAGTAGTGTCCGTTTGCGTAAAGAAATAAAGGTGAGATTCCAACAAAATTAGAAAAAATGGGGAGTCTGTTGTTTAATGATAAATACATTCAGTCTACTTGAACTGTCAAAACTGGCTGCACTTTTGTACGATTCAGCTGATCTCATAAAAGTGTTTTTTTTGTAAGCTAACAGGAGGCCAAGGACTGGTATTTTCTACTTCCATAAGCAGCATATTTCCATTTTCATAGTTATTTGCTGAATTTCTTTAACTGTCTGCCAAGTATTTTTATAGTCGTGCCAATAAATAGCAGCTGATAACCTACATCAATAGGGAATACCCACTGTACAGTATACACACAATAGGGCATATAAAAATTAGCAGTATAAAAGATTTCAATAGATGTAGTTCCTAGTCTTGAATAAACCTAGTTTTTCTTATTCTTACAGCCCTGTCACCTCTTCTGTAGTATTGCTTACATAGCCCTAAGTAATTTGCAGTAAAATGTGTTTTTCTCTTTTGAAGTAATTAATTTTTAAACTTCATCTGTTCTTATTAAAGAAGAATCCCATATACTCTTAGTCCCATATTCTCTTAGTTGGTGTTAGTACAGAGAGAAGACTCCTGTGATAGGTAGACTGCATTATTCGTGCTGCCAGGAATGGAAATTAGTGCAGGAGAGAGGAAATGTAAAACTATTTGTGCTTTTTCATTCATTTTATATTGTTGAACCAAAGATCCTTATGTTACCAGCTGCTCCTTTACTTGTACACAAACTTAGGTTGTGTTTGAAAAAATTATTAGGGTGTGTTATCAGCCCTGTTACAAGAAGTTGGCCCTGGTTGTCTTCCCTCTATTTTATTTCAAATTCTTCGATAATATACTAAAATCCTTTTGCATTTGATCTATTCTTTCCATTCTTATTTATTACTTTCATTTCAGCGAATTTTAGAGCCCACAGAACACGTACCTGAAGTAATCCTGAATAATTTTACAACACGACTTGGCCATTCTATCGGTCGCATGTTTGCTTCTCTCTTCCCACACGATCCTCAGTTCATTGGACGACAAGTAGCTACATTTCACAATCAGCGAGACTACATCTTTTTCAGATTCCACAGGTGACTTTTTCCACAAAACTCATAAATGAGACAGAATGTTCTTGTAACTTACTTCCTAATCTATTTTTTTTTATTTCCCCAAGATATATCTTCAAGAGTGAAAAGAAAGTGGGAATTCAAGAACTTGGGCCACGTTTTACATTAAAGCTGAGGTCTCTTCAAAAAGGAACCTTTGATTCCAAATTTGGAGAATATGAATGGATTCATAAGGTATGTCTAAGTAATAGTAATAGTCCCGCTTGGGAAGGGAGACTAAATCTGACATGAAAGGTAACCACAACTCTTAGCCTAAAAAAGCAGTACAAATGCAGTTCTCAATACCGAAGTGTTGAACTGAAATATTTAGAGGTATATTTGGAGAAATATGCAAAGTAGAAGCATTGTGCTATATTGCAAGTCAAAAATAAAAATAGCAAGGGTGATGAATATCAATATACCATGACTACTTATTTGCAGAATGCAATTTCTTTAACATATGCAGATATAAGCAAATGTGAAAAATGCTCCCCTGGTATAAGCTATTATTGGAAGCCTCGTATACTTGACTAGAGCAATTTTTGTGCAAGGTGAGTGGGAGAACCATAATGTAAAAATGATTAAGCTATTTGCATAAGTGTCACTTCTTAATAGTGAATGGAAAGTAACACTGACCTCTGCATATCTTTAAGTGAAATGGAAGTAGTACTCTAGGCAATGATAAATTACTTTTCCATTCATTTTTACTGTGGCATTGCAGTTGATTGGCAAAACTTCGAAGTGAGTATCCAAGCTATACTGGAAGGAAAATTCTAATACTTGTCGTGTAGTCCATGAAATGGATAATCTTGTTTGTTTTAAAGACACTTTGTCTGCTGTCAGTAGACAGAGAACTGCTACATGTTCTCTGGTTCTAAATCACTAATCTCTAATTCTTCTCCCTTGTTAGTCTTGAAAAGCTGACTATAAATACTCAACTACACTAACTGACACATTTCACTGTCTACTGTACTATAAACTGGAGTGGTCATCCTTGTTTGTATCCTGTTGCATGAATTTGCTGGTTAATAACTTTTCTTTTAAATTTCAGCGCCGAGAAATGGACACAAGTAGAAGAAAATTTCACTTATAAGGGACAGCCACCTGCCAGTGGTTGGTGACCAGAAATACAACTGCTTTGAACTATGGATTATCTCAGACTCCTGATACTGAACAGTATCTGTCTGCAGAAAGACAAACTGCAAACATTAAAATTTTCTACAGGAGCAGATCAAGTAGGATGCATCTTTCTTCACTTGTTTGCAGCTAAATCCAACATGACAAGGACAGTGACTCTTCTTCCAGTACAATAGGAAAAACTATGGCAATGTCAGAGCAGCCTGTAATTTAGCTATCACTGAAGATCTGCCATGACTGCTGCTGTGCTGTAGAAATAAACTGCACTTTGCAGTATCAAAGACAGTAAATATTTTGATTAAAGATATTCTCAAAATAAAGTATTTCTAGTTGCACAGCTTTTTTTCTGTTAAGCAGCTAATCCCAGCCATCTTCCATTAATCAGGTAAGAGGTAAATATTTTAAACCTCTTTCTAACTTACAGTATGCCATCCCCTGACAATATGGTGATAGTTTTCCAAAAATGGTCTCCTGTTTAGAGAACATTGAGAAGGGCTCTATGCAATCCAGGAAGCCTGTGGTATTTTATTTCATTAACATCTTGCATAAAATAGCCATGTTGCTGAAGTTACAAAAATGATATGCTTGACTCCTACAGGTATCTCTTCTGTAAATGTCATATTTAGATGAGATATACCCAAAGCAGTCGATGTTCTTGTATATAAAAACAAATAAACATCAATGGGAAAGAATGCATAAGGCCAGCTTGCAGAAGTACATAAAGCTGTCTCATCTAAAAATGCTGCTCAGTTGAACATGTAAGGTCTCTGAGCAGAGCTTTTCCCCATTAAAATCTTAAAAACACTTTTTCAGCCTCATAGCTATACTTGAGTTGGTACTACCTGCAGAATAAACTACTGTTCTGCCTTAAGTTAGCACATTCACTGGCAGCTAAAAAAGCTAAGTTTTCTTTGAATTACTTTCTTTCCATATGCAGATATAATAAGTACTTTTTCATATTCACCTAAAGAGTAAGATGGCTCATAGAGTAAGTAATCTACTAGCGTAGAATTACTCTTTAAGATAAGAATAATTAAGTTACTCTTTTGTCTTTATTTGATGTCTATGATACAGGATAGCTGTATAGCTGAATTATAAACTAACAGCCAAAAATTGTTTTTCTGTTGTTATGCTTCTAAGTATAGTACTGATGAAGCCTCATTGTTCTGTAAGACTATAAACCCCAGGCAAACTTGCAGCAGCATGGAATATTTAAAGGTAGACTCCTGTATGTGCTCTCTAGCTGCTGCAGTGATGCAGTAACCAGTGAGGTGTCAACATATCCAGAGTTAATCAACTTGTTACAGTAATTCAAGAACCAGACTAAGTCAAGACACTTTTATTTTTTGCTTGGCATATAAAACTGATTCCCTTATGAAACAGAAGTATTGTAACTAGCATATAGTTCATTTGGAGAGGTAGATGGTAAGAGGTTTGACGACAGTAGCAGTTTTACAGTTAGATTTGGCACATTAAAGCTAAGCTTTTGTACAGACTTCAAACCAGGCCACTCCTTGAGGCACTCTGCCCATACACACATCAGCAGCTAGGAAAAGATGCTAAAAGATCTGAAAAATGAAACAAAAATGTAGTTAGAAAAGTGTCAACGCCAAATGAAGCAACTCTATGTCTAAGAACATGTACCTTCAGAGTATGCCATGGATAGCTATTTAGAAAAAAACCCTCTTTTTCCACAGCTGTTTTATAAAACTGTTAGTTTATAAAATAAACCTTTAAAACCATGAAGCTATCCCCAAGAGTACAAGAAGTTAATCAAAGCTGTTAGAAAAGAACTGAAGCTTAGTGTTTCCTGGCAGCCAAACTGCTATGCTGAAGGACAGAAAAAGTTGTTCCTGGTCACTTGGTGCCTACAAAAATACCATCTACTTTGCCTCTGAAAAGCAGGGGGAGTCTGTGTAACTAACAGATTACACTTCCTCTTCACTCCACAGAGGTGGTGCTGACTGTGCAAACATGAACTCTATTGGCTCATCGTGAAAACACCAGGATTACAACTAAGAAATTGCCTATTTTGAGGAAGTGCTTGCAAGAGATAGTGAAGGAAAGAAATTTTCCATATAGGTAGCGCAACTAAAACTGCTGTTCTAATGACTTTTGCCTGTAACATCAGCAGAAACAAGTGCTCCATTCCAAAATCAGAAAGGGGGGTGTTAAGGGCTGTAATTGAGAAATAAAATGTTCAGCCTTTTATGCCCTATATATGCAAACAGGTGTGTGAGAGGAAATGTTACTTCCTGACATCCACACCCAGGAATTACTAGACCTTGGCAAACCTCAGTGGGGAACACAGTATGTGTCACTGGTTAAAGTACAGTTTATTTGGCTTTTTATAGGTTATCACTCTATAATGCTTGCAGATGATCTGATTTCTTCCTTGAATTACTGCTTAAAGCTGAAGCTACAGTAGTGTGAACACAAGTCAGTGTCCAAGACTAGTATCTTTTAAATAAGAATAGTTGATAATATTCACAATAGAAATAACTTTAAAAGCTACACGAACTCTAAAACACATTTCAGTTACACTGCTGTAATTCATTGCTCAAAACAATGGCAAAAGTGTTTTTGTTTGTTAAATAGTTAAACATCAACCTCTATACTGTTACTACTCTGGTCTTTACTAGTATGAACCACCTTGTTCATACACAAACTTTTTGGAAGCTTTCTTCAGGCTGCTTGAGGGAAGAACAATTTTAAAGAACAATTTTACCAACTCAGTCTGACTGTGGTCACCCTTCTATAAAGCTGCTAGATGTAAGTTGTGTTATTTAGGCAAACTACAATTCTTTGGATGATGTAAGTCAGCTACAAAACCAGAATTCTTCAAGGTTAAGACTTGCTATGAGATTTCTAAGGATTGTGAACTCCAGTTAACTGCGTATCAGGTGCTTCGACATAACGTATATGCTCTCACCCCAACAGATCTAAGTCAAGGGGCAATGGGGAAGACAGACAATAGAATTGTGTATTTACTGTGGGCAAAATATCAAATTATTGTGACGCAGAGTCTTGGTGAGATTACTGTGGATCTAAAACTCACCTTTCTAAATAGCTTAGTCTAAAATCTAATCACCAGAATTTTCAAGGCATGCCAGATTAGCACTATTGCTATCATGACGAAGACTACTAATGAAACTACAGAAGTTTTGGAATGAAAATGCAAATGAATATTCAACTGTTTCTCATTATTTAAACTGCTACCCATGTAGTAGCTTATTTCAGTGGAGTATAGGCCTTGATACAATTCTTGGACGACATAGTTTTTTTCTTTTTGGCTTAGAGGGCATGTCCTATAGGGGACAGTGCTCTTGGAGACCACCACTAACCTATCTGTGGAAGTGCTCTTTACAATAACTAAAGTCTGCTTTATCTGCCACAATCAGGATTCACCATGTATTCCGTCAGGCAAGTAATCCTATGTGAGAAAAGGGAAATAATACCCTTACACAGAAGGAAGATACAGCAGAATTACTGTACAACCAGGTTAGTTCAAATAGCAGCTCAGTAGTAGCTGGCCCCACTACTACTTTGCTGCAGCAACAGAAACCAGCAGAAGCTCTGCAGTAGCTAAATGCTATTCATAATACTGATCAACAGCATGTGTCCAGTACAGAGCTACAACCAGAATAGGGGAGGAGGGGCCCAAAATGGGGATCTAGACCAACACCAGCTGCAGAAGTTAGATGTCTCTTCTGAATACTTTTAATACAGGCAGTCTCACTTAAAGCCAGCTATTTTTAACAACAGAACAGTTTATGAATTCTAATTCAAGAACTTACCACTGAAAGATACCGAAGTAGTTCACATAATTACAAAAATGAACAAACTTTCTGGGGTCTGAATGGATTTGTACTTGATGATACTCCGGTCAGTAGGGGATCATGTTGTGCATTCTGCAGGCAGAATTGCTTCAAGTCTGCTGCAGCCTGAGAAACCTAGTCATAATAAAAGCTGGCATTAGAATTCACTGAACACTCTTTACCGAGGATGTAACTACATGAAAAAGTCTATAAAGAATACTTCTAAATGATTTTGCTGTACAGTTTACATAGATTTTACATAACGGTTTCATTGTATTTTTTGGTTTCTTAAAGACAAGAATTTGCACAATATTAGAGTAAGAATTAATTTAGAAAATTTTCATGTTAAACTTCTAAGAGTGAAAGATGAGCAACATCTTGGAGATAGCTTTGTTAAATATGTAAAGATCCTTGTTCTAGCATAAATCGTTTAAAAATACAGCCTATAGTTTAAGATGCTCTACTCGACTGAACTGGCATCTTATCTTCCCTTAGAAATACATCCTTATGATGAGATGTTGTATGGGGTTTTTGGTAGGCTATACCTACCTAAAAACAGAACAGTCAAAAAATTCATCTTGCTTTTCTTTGCTGTACTCTGAACTCATAAAAATGAACGATCAAAGTTTCAGTAAGTAGCATCTTCACGGGTATCTTGTATTTGCAATTTGGCCAGAGTTTCTCTAATTTGGCAGGGCCCAGTCTCATCCCGAAAATGCACAAGTTCAATACACTTGGTATGTCTTGCAGCGAAGTCTCCATTTTATGGTGTCAGAGCCAGGCCAGCCAAGGCAACCTGTTGTAAACCCCGACTCAAGCTGCCCTTTTCACCAGAGTTTGATGGAAGAAAACACTCCTCAGAATCAGGAAAGGAGAGGGGAAAGCGGGGCGCATCCCGGGGAACGCTACGGCCGGAGAGCGGCCCCCGGGGTTCCCCGAGAGGCTGCAGGAAGCGAGAGGGGGTGG